TTAGGGTTAGGTAAGGGTTAGGGTCCATCTATCCATTTATCTTATCCCATCCATTTAATCTTTATCCATTCACTCACTCATCTATACATGACGTCTTTCTTACCTGCGAGTTTGCTGGAGCTCCATATCTAGCAAACAGTTCCAATGCCTTGAGTGAATCGCCTTCTTTAATACAGTTAGCTGCATACAGTGCCACGTACTTACTAAGCACCTCGTATCCCTGCTGTTCAGCAGTTTCAATGGCTTTATCCCACTGACCACGTTGAACCATCATATCTAGGCCTGCTATGACATCAACGTCAACAAGCTTCAAACAAACAAGATATATCATTAGCACTAAGGCTTCAACCTCTAAACTATGGGTTATGATTTATATGGCGCCCTCTCTCTGTATACACTTATTTCAGAAATCGTTGTCGCACCAAAAGCCTCAAGCAACAAGCCAAGATCGCAGAGAACGCAGGTACTTTTAGCTGTAATTAGTTTATTCATGGTGCATTTTCATTTATTGACTTCACAAATTGCTCCAAGCAAGGCTGCTTGAGATGATAAATAGTGGAGAACTATAGCCAYTTGCATGAACCATGAATAAATCAATTATAATTAAAAGTACCAACGTTCTCTGGAGCCTTGGCTTGTTACTTGAGGCTCTTGGTGTGACAACGATCTTCGAAATAGGTGTATATGCGAGAGGCACAGGCACTGAGGGTGGTCACTGCGAAGGTTTCTTTACATTCTCAGTGGTTCTTTTAAGTCACTCTGATATTGTTTAGTAATGATGAAGCGTGGAGAGATGGCCTGAGCTGCAATTTTATGCAGCAAGCAAGCAAAGTTCTCGTACCTGTTCTGCTTGTCCCTTGTTCTTCAAAAAGTTGACATAGGCATCCTCAACATATTGCTCGTACCTTGAAATCAATTAATGATTTAATATTATAAAGCATTGGATAGAATAGTAATAATAATAATGAAGTTTATAATAGCTGATGATGATGATGATTATGATGTTTGACGAGAATGGTGATGGTGATGACAAGGCCAATAAAGACACCCAGTATCTTTTACTAACTTTGGGGCCATTTCAGCAGCACATCGTTTAGCTTTAGGCCACAGTTCTCCTTCAATGTACATATCAATAGCTTCTTTGATCATCTCTACTCCCAGATACAGCTCAGCACCTTGTTCGTATGCCTTGACGTCTGCCAGTCTAGGACAAGCAATACTGGCAACATCTACAGCACGATCTGGTACGAATTTCATCGCAAGTTCTACAGCCTAACGGAAAGAAAATTAATGTTACTGTAAGAGACTGGAATAATTTATCGATGAGAAGCTGGGTAAAGCAATAATGATCATTCTTTTTGTTCATTAGAAGCAAGCCGATGGCGTGGGGGTAGTACGGTCTTTTTATTTCATAAGATTTTTGTGCTCTTCTCAAGCGTCATTGACAAACGAAATGTAATTCTCCTGGAAATTGAAGATGTTATTTACGTACCTTGACCATAGCGTCTTCGACCAGATCCTGATCTGTAGTCATGCTAGGGGTTATCTTCATGTACATGTCTATTGCTCGGTTATACTCGCCCTTCTTTTCCCATTCTTTCCCTTGTGATAGTAAAGATTCTGCGCCTCTGAGGGAAGAAAAAAAAGGAAAGGATGAGAGTGTATAAGTGCATCTTTAATTAGTGTATAAGCATTCAAATAATTTAATTTGTCATTACCTGTTGCCCTTGGAAAGGACTTCTCTATCGTATTCATCTTGCCACTGCTCAAGCTAGAGGAAAAAAGCATCGAGGATGACAATTAGAAAGTCTATATAATATATCAAGGAGTGACTGCTTGATGAGAGCTGATCAATGATTGGTGTTTACCTTGTGTGGAAGGTATTCCTTGACCACTCTTAGAGCATCAGTCCACATACCCGCGTCCTGGAATAAAAAGGATTAAAAAAACAGTCAAATACTACTTCTGAATCAATTAACACTACTACTAGAACAACAGCAACAATAACAGCAGCAACAACAGCCAAAATCAGCATTGACAACAGCAGMAGCAACAACAGCCGCAACAACAGCCAAGATCAGCATTGACAACAATAGCAGCAACAACAGC